TTCTACAGTATAATGATTATTGTCGTTTTCATCAACATTATATGCATTTATTTTGTAACGTACCATGAAAATATTAGTTATTGATTTAAGTTCATCATTTCCAAGAGTATTTGCAATATAATTTAAAAAGAAAGCATTGCTTTCATTAATTGTGATGACTTCACCTGCCATCATATTTTGAATCAATTGGAAATAACCATTTGTATCTTTTATATCGTTGATTATTATTTTATCCATATCAGGATCTTTAATTAATTGATCATTTACGCGTGTAAAAATTGTTCTAGCAATGCCTTGGTTTGATTTATACCTTTTTCCATCAACTATGAATTCAAAGTCAGATTGAATAGAAGCACATGAAAGTGTGGAAATTTGAGATGGCCTAAGTACAAAATCTATAGGATTAATAAGCGAATGTGGCGAAGAATGCATAACTTTATTTACCATTTATTAAATTTCAATAATGGAAGAGTTCACTTTTTGAGAGAATTTAAAAAAAATGAATTCCATTAAAATGTATGTCATTATTTATAACTCTGATAAAACAAAAAAATCGATCTGAATGTGAACCAACATGCAAATAAATTTTTAGAGAATGTTTTTATAAAAGAAATTCTCACCGAATTTCAAAAAGTTCAAATTCATTCAATTTTGAATTGAAAGTTTTCACCGAAATTCAATTTTGATGTATGACTTTTTGAATCAATGTGAAAAATGAGACAGATATAATCCTTGAAATTCAAATGATAAATATTTCACATTCCATTGAATTGGAATCCTTTCAAAATGGGATAAATTTATTTTTTTTACGTAAATCATGATACCTATGTTAAGCACTTTTGTAAAATCATAAATTTCACTATTTTTGAGTATATTCATTGATTAATATCGATTTTAAACATAAAAATTTGAGTGTCTCCCTGAATTTTTGAATATTGTAATATAATATTTTTCATTATCATCAGTAGTCAACGATTTGGACAAGCTAGCATAATAACATCTTCTAGACTTGGTTTTTGATAAGATTTTGGCTGTAGATTTAGTTCAATGCCTCAAATTATAGATCTTAATTGTATTTTAAATAAAAATAAACGGTCGCAAGAAGCTACTTTTGAACAGGACTATAGTATGAAAAAAAAAAAAAAAGATTATATTAATATGAAATAATAACTTTTAACGAATATAGGTGAAATTATTTCTTAATTCAGGCGGAATCATTATCAGTAATTCACTTTCATAATACTGAAAAAGTGGTTTATCAATTATTTTCTTTAGTTGTGAATTTTCTTCCACTTCAATTATTTTGAAATATCTGCATTTGTAAAAAATTGACATGTTTAGATCTTCAACGTGAGGTGGTACAATAAATGAGCTAATTTTTGTTGAATCAAAATCGAGATTTTCAATCACTCTAAGTTGAGAATTTGGTGCTATTTCAATTCTTTTCAAATTTCTGCAACCACAGAAAGAATGCTTACAAATTTGAACGACACTTGATGGAATCGAAATGGATTCAATTTCTGTATAAGAAAAAGAATCATTTTCAATTATTTGAAGTTCAGAATTCGATGGAATTTCAACTCTTTTGAGATTTCTGCAGAATTTGAAAGCTTCCTTACAAATTTTGGTGAGGTGAGGTGGAAGATAAATTGAATCAAAAAGTAAATCACTAAAAGCAGATTTTTCAATAATTCTCAAATTTGAATTATTTGAAAATTCAACTGACCGAAGTTGTTTACAATCAGAAAAAGAAAGAGAACCAATTATTTCAACAAAATCAGGAATTGTCACTTTTTCGACATTACGGACACAGAAAACAAGAACATCAAATTTTTCTTGTTCCATCGACGATTTACCGAAAATGAATTTCTTTTCATCGTCTGTTTTGTAACGTGGATTTTTTGGACTTATTTTTATTTCCTTCAATTTCAGTTCACCACAAAGCCATTCATCTTTCAAATTGGTCAAATTTGCAGGAAAGGTGAAATTTTCGAGAGCAGATGAATAGAAAGCATTTTTTTCAATTGTTTGCAATTTTGAATCTTCGTCGATTTCAATTGTACGAAGTTGCTTGCAATTACCAAAAGCCATCTTACAAATGACAGTGACATTTGAAGGAATTTTGATCGTTTGAATCCCACTATCATTAAAGGCCCATTCATCGATCCTCTCAATTTTTGAATCATCAGGGAATTCCACTTTTTGAAGGCTGTTACAAGAAGTAAATGTTCCTTCATTGATTTCGGTGATGTGACGTGGAAATGTAAACTTCTGAATATTAGTACGCGCGAAAGCTCTCTTTCCGATGATTTGAAGATCAGAATCGGCTGGGATTTCAACTCGTAACAAACTTGAGCATGAAGAAAATGCCACATCACCAATTTTGGTGAGGTGAGGTGGAATTGAGATACTTTCTATATTCGAGCCTGAAAAAGCAGAGTACTCAATTATTCGAAGCTTTGAATTGTCTGAAGTTTCAACGGTGGAAAGCATTTTGCATTCAGAAAAACAATTAGGACCAATTATCTCAACAAAATCAGGAATTGTCACTTTTTCAGCATCACGGACACAAAAAACAAGAACATCAAAATTTTCTTGTTCAATCGACGATTTACCGAAAATGAATTTCTTTTCATTGTCTGTTTTGTAACGTGGATTTTTTGGACTTACATTTATACTGTTTAATTTAAGAGCCCAACTAGACCAACCGTCATTTAAATTGACTAATTTTTCAGGAATTGAGAGGCTCTCAATATTACAGAAGAGAAAAGCGTTTTTCTCAATTGTGTGAAGTTCAGAATTTTCAGGAATTTCAATTTCTCTCAAATCTTCACAATATCTAAACGACTCCTCACAAATGATTGTACAGCTTGATGGAATTTTGATGCTTTCTAAAGCACAAGTAGAAAAAGCTCCCCTTTCAATTTTTCTGAGCTTTGAATTTTCTGTGAATTCAATTTTTATTTTATAACAATTGCTGAAGCAATATGAACCGATTGTTTCAATGAAATCAGGAATTACAGCATTTTTACATTTGACACAATAGACAAGTGTATCGTAGTCGTCTTGATCAATTGATGTCTTTCCTATAATGAATTTGTCAGCATACATTTTATATTTTCGATTATTTGGATCAATTGTAATCTCTCGTAGTTGATGAAGACCTTTGCCCCATCCACTTTCTAGTTCTATGATACTCGATGGAAAATTAATGCTTTCAATGCTAGTTTGGTCAAATGCATTCTTTCCAATTGTTGCTACTAAGGAATCAGGCGCAAATTGAATCGATTGAAGATCTTCATCACCTCTAAATGCATTCTTTTCTATACTTATGACATTGTGTTCTACATCTTGATATGTAATTGATCTTGGAATAATTATTTTTCCATCTGCCGATTCTTCTCCAACGACTTTCGCAATTCGTTCTTCTTTATTTAATCCGTATGCGATGTTATTCAATTTGTATAGGGTATAATTGCCTTCTGGAAGATTATAAGATCGAAACATATAATTATAATTTTGACGTCAAAGTTATTTTATGTATTCAATTATATTTTCAATTAAAATTTTTATAAAATTTTTCAAAAATTGAACTAAAGTGTGTCCACTATTAGGAAAGTTAAAATTGTGAAAACTCATTCAATATTTCTATGAGCTTATTCAAAAAATACTTTCTTAATTGTGGACGCACTTTAATTTGAATGAAATAAATAATAATATTAAGAATAAAAATAATTTGATTTTTTTTTTTTATTAACATTGTAAATTAAAATAATATATGAATACTTATAACAAATCTTCAAACAATTGATGAGTGTGCATTTTATAATACATTAATTGTATCTATAATAATTCCTTCTAGTGTTATTCAAATTGGTTCAAAAGCAATTTACAGCTGTGTTAATCTTCATACAATAATTATTCCAAAAGATTCAAAAATTCAAAAAATTGGTGAATATGCATTTAGGGAAACATCCATTAATAAAATTTTAATTCCACCTCATCTTAAAACATTAGAAAAAGGAACTTTTGCTTTTTGCAAAAAACTTAAAATAATAGATATTGATTCAAATTCAGAACTTCAAACAATCGATGAAGATGTATTTATATATACTTCTTTTGAAACTTTACCAATTCCTCCAAAATTGAAAGAATTAAAATATAAATGGTGTTGCGGTTTAGAAAGTGTAATGTCAAATAATTTTGTTTATTGGAAAAACAAATTTGGAAAGTGATATAATGTCAAAATAAATTTCTTATTGGAAAAACAAATTTGGAAAGTGATATAATGTCAAAATAAATTTCTTATTGGAAAAACAAATTTGGAAAGTGATAAATTTGATTGTCTTTTATTTACAAATTTAGATGCAGATAAAGTTATTATTCCAAATTTTATTAAAAAAAATTGCTTCTTATTCATTTGATTCATGCAAAAATCTTCATAAATTATTATTTGCAAAAAATTCAGAACATGAAATAATTGAAAAAATGGCATTAAAATCTTGTTCAAAGATTAAACAAATTACAATACCACCACATGTTAAAATTATTGGTGAATCTGCTTTTTTTTATAGTCTTGAACAAGTTGATGTTCCTTTAAATTCTGAACTTCAAATAATTGAAACATTGGCTTTTCAATATATAAGAAATAATAGAATTTATATTCCATCACATGTAATTCAAATTAATGCTTACGCTTTTATTGATATAAAATCCCTTCAAAAAGTTGTAATTCCAGAAAATTCTGAACTTCAATATCTTGGCAAAAGTGCATTTGAAAATACTTCAATTGAAAGTATTTTCATTCCTTCTAATATAAAAGTAATTCATGAAAGAACATCATGCAATAAATTATTAGAATTAGAATTTAGTAACATGCCCATATAATAATTCAAATTCAAATTTCATCTTTTTCAAAGTCCGTTTATTATTAAGAATCTTGATGATTACTTGATGCATTGATTTTTTGACAACAAATTAAAAATAAAAATATGAAAAAGTACGCAGCCTGGGAATCGAACCCAGTTCCTAGGTGTGGAGCACCCATATGCTAAACCATTACACCAGCCACGTTTCTATTTATATCTTTATTTAAAAAGAATTTTTTGGTTAATTATTTCATTAACCAATAAATTGAATGACGTCTTTGGTCAAATTAATGAAGATGTAGATGCATCAAAGAAATCAAAAATTCAAAATTAATAATTTTTAGATTTAATTTAGTGAAACCATTAACACTAGAATATTATTCTGAAATAATAAACCAATCAGATAATAATTATAGAAAATGCAATTATTATTGTGATTTTAAACTTTTTTCTGTACCATCTTTGATGGGTTTTGATACCCATTGGTGCTTGGGAAAATCTTCCGCAGTAACCCTCTCTTCATGGATCCACTTTAAGCAATTAACAATTAAATCGAGAAAGACTTTATCTCTAATTATCGTTTATCTTTGGATTTCAGTTAAAGCACGCATTTAGAATTGTATTTCATTTATAAAGCATCAATAAAGTATGGTGATCATTCAATATTTTCAAATTAACATCCAAACTTTTTGAATTATTATTTTAAACTCAATTTTTAAAATATAATGAAAAATCAATTTACTTTTATTAAAATTTTAATAATTTTACATTTCCAAATATGTTTATATATCCTTATTAAAGAATGATTGTACAAATTTTCATCGAAATTCGTTAACCTCGATTTTCGTGATATTTAATTATGTCTTCATTCATTAAATTTCAATGCACAATCTCTTTATATTGAATTTAAAATCCAAATACATTTATGCTAATTATAAACTAAGTTTAAAAAAAATTACCCTTTTATTCTTTTAAAATTACCCTTGTGCGAAATTATGTGGGAAAAAGGTATTTTTTTTAACCATAATTGATATTTATTATGAGAAAGGCGGAGAAACCAGTCAATCTGGAGGACGAGGTCTTACTATTCAAAACAACAAATTTATGCATACAGATGAAATCTATTCAAATTCATTTTTAATTAGTATTATTATGAAATCACAATCGGTACTCAAATTTATTAACAATGAGATCAATATTGCTAATTCAAATTCAGAAGCGAAATCCGTTTATGCATTCTCATTCCAAAATATAAATTCAGGCACAATGACATTTGAGAACAACTGTATTACTCCAAACAAAGAATATTTGAGCGACAATTCTGAACATATTGAAAAAAAAGAAGAATCATTCACAAAATGTACAAATGAGAATCCAGAAGAAACGACAGAATCAATTGACAACAGTGAAGTGATATCAACAATTGAATCAACGAGCGAAACCAGACCAACAGATGAATTTGAATGCTCTCAAACACCAGAAAATTCATATCAAATATCAGAACAAAACACAGATTCAATTCCAGATAATGCCAATGCTTATGCTGGTAAAGTATATTCATTATTTGCATATAAATGCACATTTAGAGAATGCAATGCAGAGTTTGGAGGAGGTGGAGCTATTCGTATTTCAATCAATAGTGCTACTGCAGCAACCAAAAACAGCACAATTTATCATTGTACTTTTGAAAAGTGCACTTGTCTCTTTGGCGGTGCCATATCTATTTTATGCAACAATATAAATTGCTATTTTGAAATCAGCAAATGCATATTCAAGGAGAATAAGGCAACAGATCCTGATAGCGGAAAAGCAGGTGCAATTCATTTTAATTCTATTTGTGGAAAAATCGATGAATGCGCATTTATTAATAACATCGGAATCAATGGTATTGACATTTGTTATGAAAATCCATCACCAGGTACTCAAACAAACGGCAGAGGTCTCACAATCCAATCTAACATTTTTTCAAAAACAGAAGAATCAAGCTCAAATTCATGCATAATTAGGCTAGTTTGGAATAAGTAAGCTGCTCTTTATTTCAATAACAATGAGATTAATATCATCAGTTCAAACTCAGAAACAAAATCAATTTTTGCATTTCAATTTGATGGTAACATAAATTCAGGCACTATGTCTTTTGAAGGCAATTGCATTATACCAAACAAAGAAATTCTTCCATTATCTTCTTGTTTATGATGATAAACAATAATAAATATGCAATTTATGGCTCTCTTCTTCTTGCTCTTCTTGCTATTTCAGTTGCTTCTGCTTTTATCATCATAAACAAGAAGAAAGATAATTGAAAAATTTAGGAACTAAAAGAAGAAGAATCAATAGAACTTTAAAAATCATAATCGGGGTTATTTAATAAATATCTAGATAAATAACAAATTGTTTTAAACATAAGACTAATATAAAATAAAAGCATTTCTATAATAGCATTAGGCAATGAACATATTGAAAACGCTACGTATCAACTGGACAAAGAAATCGGAATAAAGTTTACTGTTTTGATTAATAAGTGCGAATTTAAAATTGATTCAAGTGCAAAGTCTTCACTTTCTGATTTTGGTGGATCAGCAATTCAATTTTTAAAAAAGTCGGCTTTTTCAGATTCAATCAAAATCTTTGATATAATTTCAATATTAAAAAAAGTATAATTTCAGTAAGGGAGATTGGTCTAAAGGTAGGGCACGCGCTCTGGGAGTGTGATGATCTAGGTTCGAATCCTGGGTCTCCCATTTTTTTGACTTTTTTTTAAATCTAACCATTTTATTCTCACAAAACTATAACATTTTATTCCCTATATCGAAAAGTTTTCTATAATTTTATAATATATATTACGGCTTTTAACATCACCTCAAGCTTCTTCATTGCCACTTTCCATAGATTTGCAGAAGTAATAATATCTGCTTGAAATATTTCATCTTTAGAGAGAAATTGCTCACTTTGATAATTTCTAAAGACAGGAACCGATTCTGAATATATCAAGTAGTCCTTGTAAACGTTATCATATTAATATGCAAGATGATATTGATACATTTCTTTCTGATACTTTCATATAAAGCTGATTGCATTGAAAGAGATTTTTGCATTTTTATTTTTATTCATTATTTATTAATAAAATTTATATATTAAAATACCATATCGATACTGATAAAAAGTATTATAAAGTACTTTTTTAATAACCGCTGATACTCTAAAAATACCGAAGCACTTTTGTATCGATACTAAAAAATACCGAGCAAAAAAGTATCGATATTTACCGAATACCGATACTTCTTCGGTAACTGGTATTTAGTCGTATCGATAAACAACGCTGTTATATTTATTATTTGATCTAAGATAATTCAACGTATTTTTAAATTCAACGTATTTTGCCCATTTTGAATTTTATAAAGTATTATGTCCAAAGTAAAGCCGCCTTCATTACCACCTCTAAAGAAAAACATCGCTCCTAGATTTAAAAAAACGAGTGACAAATACTTGATAAACGTTGATGACTACGAAATTATCAATAAAATCGATCAAGGTGGATTTGGATATATTTATTTAGTTCGAAATATTAAGACTAGAGAAGAACTTGTAGCCAAAGTCAATAAAAATCAAACAGAATTGAAAATTGAAGTTTTAATTTCACGAGAAATTCGCATTTTGATTCAAATACAGCATCCAACAATAATTCAATTTCGAGGATTTTCCTATACAGATTTTGAAAACAAAAAAAATATCACCATTTTTATGGATTATATGAAAAATGGCTCCCTAGCAGATTTAATAGCAAAAGAAGCTAATGGGTTATGTAAATCAGATTACGACAATACCAAGCGGCAAATAATATTAATTGGAATAGCGCGAGGCATGATGATACTTCACAGCCGTCATGTTATCCACCGGGATCTCAAGCCAGAAAATGTTTTGATTGGAATTGATTATCATCCACGAATTACAGATTTTGGTCTCTCAAAATTTTATGATCCGCACAATTCAATGAGCCAATCGATGTCGGACTCAGGAACAGCTCAATACATGGCACCAGAAGTCATTTTAAGCAACCATTTTAACACGAAGGCAGACGTTTACGCTTTTGGAATTTTAATGTACGAATTGGTGACGAGCGAGCGAGCATACAGCGACCTTCTGAAAGGACGCAAGAAGCTAACGGCGTTCAATTTGAAGAAGAAAGTTTGTGAAGGACTTCGTCCAACGATCAACGAAGGAAGCATGAAAAAAGGCCAAAAAATTATGATTGAAAAGTGCTGGTCAGAAGATCCAAAGGAAAGGCCAACATTCAAAGAAATCTACAAGCTTTTGAGCCTGTCAACAGTTGACTACATCACCGAATTTGAAGACAGCAATGAGCCAAAAATCATCCCTTTCATTGACGAAACAGACGATGAAGACGATGACGATGACTACTGCGGATTTATTGGAACGAAAAGATTCTGCTTTGATGATGTCGATATTGATGAGATTCTTGAATACACTGAAAGCATCAATGGCGAGCCAAGATCACTTGAAAAAGGTACTGAGCAAGGTCTCCCAAGCCTTGACGCAAAGAAATTTGAAGCCAAAATGTCTCAGATGGTGTCAGAATTGGCTGCATCACAAAGTGAAGCTTCAAGATTGAGAGAAGAAACAAGAAAGATGAAGTCCCAGATGGAGTCAGAACTGGCTGCTTCAAAAAGTGAGGCATCAAAGTTGAGAGAAAAGATGATGCAAATGAGCAAAAAGATTGACGAACAGTCTGCATTAATCACTTCCCTTGAGACAAAACTGGGTGAAAATAAAACGGCAGATCTGTCGTCTGGTGCCAATTCGAGTCTGTTTATCTCAGCGGAAATGAACTTGTCGTCGCCAGGAATCCTTGAGCAGCTGAAGATGAAAGAGAGAACTCCATTTGACCGCTTATTTGTTGCATCTCAGTCATCAAGTGACATCTACAACTTGATTGATCCAAACACAAAAGATGATTTTTGTACAACTAATGGAGGAAACTTCTTCATTGAATTCGAACTTGAAGAAACGATTCCAATCAACGGAATTCAAATATTTTCGAGTTGGAGTGGTTTCCCAAAGTCATTTGACATCATAATTGAAGGTCGAACTGTGAAATCGATCAAAGAAGCGAATGATTTGAATGAACAATACAAAGACATGACGATCAAATTTGAAATTAATCGATGTCGACGAATTCGATTCCAA